CATTTAGACGCTCACTGGAATTGGCCATCTATCACGTTTGTTCTTGTTAATTTAAAGAAGACATGCTCGACTTGTTCTTCACTTCTTGTGTTTGCAAATTGTAAAAACCGTTTGTTCCCAACCTGACACAATTCTATCTCTCCCGTTTCCTGTATAAAATTCTCTACCACACAAGACAAGCCCATCGTTACTGAATCACCCGTTTCGATTTTTTTCATATAGGACTCTGGGATCTATACCACATCATACTGTGAAAGAACAGAATATACTAGATATAATTATTCTTACCCGTAATATAGGTGAGATACTTTTCTTTGAATTTTCAACACCGGGTTTATTTCCATTAATGCGTACGATCGATCGATATTTTCTTTTTTTATTATTTGTTTGTGAAGTTGATCGTTTGTTCACCGTGGTTGATCGTCGGTTCTCTGAGGTTGACCGTCTATGTCTCAAGGTTGACTGACCTTCGCTTTGTTTACTATGATTTTTTTCTGAAGCTGATCGCTTCTTTTTTGATACTGGTCGATCTTCTGCAGTTGATTTCACCGGATCTCGATCTGATATATATTGCACTCTTTGATACTTGCGAACATCTATCACAAATTCAAGCATCTTAGTCGATATGAATTGGGACACCAATGGTGCCGATGTTGTTTCTAGAAGTTGGAAAAAATTCTTCTAGTTATTCATGCATTTTATTGATTAGTGGTAGGTGAATTGAGAAATGTGTATATGATTGAATTTCAAACACATTATTCTGCAATTCACACGATAATGAAACTATGTATCTCAGACCGAGAAGAACGGAATGAAAACATGTTTGGAATACATAGGCGCGCCATATGCATACATGAGATTATCTTTTCTATACTCAAATTACTACTCAGCAAAAAGGTACAAGACAATAAATAAATATATAGGGTAACAGAGAATTTCAAATTCTATACGAATGTATAATTTTTGTCTTAAAAAGTAATTCCTATAGTGATGATATAGTTAAAAGACTGATTGAGAAGACAGCGACAAAATATAAAGCGTGGAACCTGGTGATGAGAGTGCCTTCATTGCACTCAATTTATTTTCTAGGAAATACGAACTAAAAACAATATCAATATAAGTGTTGATATTGCTTATTACAAAGCTCATAAAATCTGAATCATCTATCCCACAAAGCTCGGAGATATCTCATTCAATGGTCAAAAATGTATTGTACATTTCTGCTCAAATAATTAAAATTTATCTCGTTTCGCTTTAGAACTATTGGGGGCACTTAAAATAAAGAAGTTCAGCACAATAATATTTAGGGATGCAACGGTGACGATCATTCACCGGTTCACCGTCACTGTTTCACCGGTCAAAACCGATAACCGTAGGTACAGTTATTGGTTCAAACCAGAGATGGATAAAGTCGTACCGCGCTTCCCCGCGCCGTTGCTCACGCCTACGCTACACTAGTCTGAGCTTCGATGAGCGCATGCTTAGAGCATCCCGGTATTCGGTGGAGTTTGAGAAGCTGATTGGTAGAGCAAAGAGAAAGAGAGATGTGCGTAGCGCCTAGGCGCGGGGAGGCGCGGTGCGATTTTGTCCATCTCTGGTTCAAACCGGTTGTCAAGGAAAACAGCATTTTTTAAGAAAATACCGATAATTTGTAAAGGTTGACGAAAGTAAACCGTGGTCGAGAAATCCGAATCTAACGTCAGCTTTTCAAAATTCCGAATTGAATTTGGACAAAGGAAAGGATTTTTTAAGAAAATAACGATATTTTATAAAGGTTGACGAAAGTAAATCGAGGTCGGAGAATCCGAATCTGAAGTCAGTTTTTCAAAACTTCGAAATGAATTTTTTGGACAAAGGAAAGGGTTTTTTAGAAAAATAATGATATTTTATAAAGGTTGACGAAAGTAAGTCGGGGTGGGAGAATTCGAATATGAAGTCGACTTTTGAAAATTTTGAGTTTTAGTTCTTCACATAGAATATTTTTCAAGAATAAAGCTTTCTAGAAAAAAAGACGACTTTCAAGGAGCGGTTTAGTCTAGGGAAGAGAAAATTGAAAAGCTGAAGGATTTGATTTCAGATTCGAATTCTTCGATCTCGATTTACTTTCGTCAACCTTTATAGTATATCATTATTTTTCTAAAAACCCCTTTCCTTTGTCGAAAAAATTCATTTCGAAATTCTGAAAAACTGACTTCAGTTTCGGATTCCTCGACCCCGGTTTACTTTCGTCAACCTTTACAAATTATCGGTATTTTCTTACAAAATGCTGTTTTTCTTGACAACCGGTTTGAACCAATAACTGTACCTACGGTTATCGTAGCTCGACCGGTTACTGTAGTTCGACCGGTTATCGTAGTGGGATCGGTAACCGTACCTACGGTTGTCGTAGGGGGACCGATAACCGTACCTACGGTTATCGTCACCGTTGCATCCCTAATAATATTGGTCCATACTTAATACAAATTCTGTTTAACTCTACTGAAGTTCGTCAGTCCTTCAAACTAAAGTATACCATTATCCATGTTTTTACGGTTTCACAATAGCAGCTACGAAATGCTAAAGATCGATGAATGCATAGATAAACAAAAATGTTGACAATGTCCTACTGTGACTCTCAGGTCATATGAAACTGGGAGAAAACCCATGGTCAAATCTTGATTGTTGTGGAAGTTATTATTGCTCTGTTGAAAGTTTACCGACATTTTAAACATTCTGATTTTTCAGCTCTTTCGCACTATTGCGTTGTAAGTTAATATATTTTAGCTACGACACAAACAAGTTTTCAAAATAGAAGTCTATCTCCTAACTTACGAGTTTTTAAACAACTTAGAAACTCTTTGAATTTTATTCTGTAGGGATAGGGGTTTATTAAAAAACCTATATGTATTGAGATAAAGTTCCCAAATTTTCGTTTGCATATCACTCTCATTTTTGAAACATCTTATCTTTTACCAGAAAAGGTGTTTTTTTTAAATGTATTCTTAATAAAACGCTCATAATTTAACATAGATAACGACTGAATATTAGTTTAATATTACAATTTTTAGGAACTTAAAGGGACTAAGAAAAAAGCGCTCACTTGTTGTAATACTAGTTTCATCGATTTTTTACTAATCTTGATTAAAATTAAGCTAGATACACTGTTTCTGAGATGATCTTCATAAGATTTCAAAACTTTATTTCTCATCAAAAGCTTTTAACTTGTTTGAATTGTTTTCACTACGATACAAAAGACACCTATTTTCGTCAAAATTTTTCTATTCATTCTTTATTTAATATAAAATAAAATATTGACAGAAAATTAGATAAAAATTGTGAAAGTAATCAAGTTTCACAAGATTTGTTTTTGGACATATATAGCGTTATTAACTATAAGATATCTCAAGAATAGCCGCCGCTGAATCAAACAATATGATAATAAACTTACTTCGTTCTGTAGTAGATTTGTTTTCTCGTGTAATGATTTTTGCTCTTTTGTTTTCATTATTATTAATCACTAAAAAAAGAGATTTTTAATGTAATAGATAGAATATTCTTTTCAAAACAATGCGAAAAATAATTTTTCAAAAATGACAAATTCACATTGTAAGCTACCAATCTTATTCCTATGTACTTTCTAACGACTTGATTTATATAAAACATTTTAAGTGCTTTTCAAAACGGCTGATGCTATGTTTTTTTGGGAAACGAACACTCACTTGTTGGATAAATAGAGAAGTTCTTTTCGAAGTTTCTGAGTGAGTAACTAACATTATTGTTATAATGATGCCATTCAATTAGAAGAAGTGTTGGTTATATATATATACACTGCTGAGTAAAGTTGTCATTATTTTTGAACAATCAACTTGGTAATTATTATTACAATCAAATTAAGTATTTTGTGATAATAATTATTTTCACGCACAAATTTAATTAATTCTACCAATTACATTCTATTACTTTGTCAAAGATTTTTGTAGAATTTCATATCCGTGATACTTAGAACTTGATATAAATCATAGCACACTTAAATTGCATTTAAGTATACAACGAGCTGAAAGACTGTAGTCTTTATACGCACATTCAGACGGCATTTCGACAGCTGAGAGCGCTGAAAAGTCTCAATAATCACTTCTACACCAAAGCTGTCAATAGGCCACCTTTTCCCAACGTGGCCTGCCAGGCTAAAAGTAATAGAGTGATCCGCAATCTGGCCTGATGGCTTGTCAAGCAGCAGACCAAGCTGGCAGTTCTGATCTGCAAATATTTTGATTGAAAATAGTTGAATACTTGAATGCTTGAATAGTTGAACGGTTACTTCAATAAATGAATTCAACCTTCAAGTATTACACTACTGTAGAAGTCTGGTCAGAGAGCAACCGTCCGAGCCCGTAACTATCCGAATGAGCAAGTACTCTAGCGAGAAAATATCCGCAAGCAATGGTCTGGGTTGGCAAGTGTCCTAGACTCATAATTTTTAGAGCCCTGTATTTAGTTGTATTCGGTTTTTAACAAACCAATAATTAAGAAATACGAAGTAATTAAAATTACTATAAAAAATTTAAAATATAAAATTTCGTTTTTTGACTCCCACAATTACTTGAAAAGAAAAGATAGATGTTACCTTCTGGTTGACTTGATCTTTTCTTTGATGACTGGAATCCTTGTGACCCATATTTCTGATGGTCATCGATTAGCAAAGATGATGTTAATTCGCATGGAAAAGGCATCGAAGCTTTGTCGATAATACTACGAACTAAACGAATAAAACTGTAAATTCTAACCAAAAGCGCTATATCATAAGACTACATCAACAAATTAGTTATTTGAAAGTTGAAAAAGTTTTGAAAGAATACTTTTATCTAAGGGTAATGCTTTAATTACAAAATAGGAAGGCAAAAGGAAAATTCTAACCCAAATAACACATGTAGAATCAGCGTAAAAATTTGTTTTTATTCAATATAAGAACTTTTAACTTGAAAGTCATATGGTTCAATTATATTGAAGTTTTAGATTGAAACTTAGAATAAAAATGACATACCAGGTGGATTAAATGAATTTTCTATTGTTGATGGCAATTGTGGCTCATCGATAAATGTACATGGTAATCTACTCGCATTTCTTGTTTCATTCAAAGAAACAGGATGTAAAGTAGTGTCTAAGAGAAATGAAGAGAAAGAGTGAAAAAAATTACAAGTGTTAATGATAAAAGCCAGTTATGTTAATACTGATTCTATCGTCATTAAGTCGATAATCTACCTTATATTGGCCCATTTCACCGCTATTTTATGACAATCTATAATATGTATAGGCAGTGGGCCTACACCCTAAGCAAGGTTTTAGCCTTATTCCATTTGGGAGCTTTTGGTGTGCATGACTAAATTATCCATATTTGTTCAATAAATGATGATAAAACCAAGATAAAAAAACAAAAAATAGAATCTGCAACTTTTTCGGTTCAAGACTGAATTGGAAAAAATATCCTGTTTCTCTTTAGAGATCGGTTAGATCCAAATGGATACAGAAAAGAAATATATTGGCATAGAAATGACAGCGTTGATCTACATTGGATATGGGTGAGGACATGTGTGTATTTCCAGCACAATTTGAATTGAAGGAGTACAGAGTAATTACTATGATATGTTGAGTCTCGATGAATTTAGACAAGATAGGGTAGTTTTCAGTAGGTCTTTATGACCAGAATCGTTTGTATAGACCCATCTAGAAACATTTCTGTACTCTCTTTTGTTCTGTTTGCTTGTTCTCTATTGTCAAGAAATCTCAACGAATAAAAGAGCAAAATGACTCTTCGAAAAGGATGAATTTCACACACTATTCAACAGCAACATCATTCGAGAAAGCTGATTTTTATTCAAAACCTGACTCATAGATTGCCATTATAAAATGAGATGGGGGATAGCCTCTGTTATGAGTCAAAGGTTTCATTAATCGATAGTAAAAGCATATTTTTATTGGAATACTTATTAATGATGAAAGCTGATAAAAATAGAATTAAATCGATATCTTAAAGCATATACACATACTTGAATGCATATTTGAATTTTGAACAAACGATGGTTTGGTAGATAATTGGGATTGATCATCAAATGTTGCAATACGTTGATTACAAATAGGTTCATCTGTATCAAGAGGAAGAACATAAAAGAATGTGGTAAAGAAAAAAATATGTATTACCGATACCCCAACTTAAATCTGCACGACCGACATCAACAGATAAATCTTTTCCTAAATGATAAAAGATATGATATTATAAATTTGGGATCATTTATCATTATTTTCTCGGCTACAGCAGGCACCCATACTTTAAAAAATAAGCGGTTTTTATAGCATTAAGATCTACCTTATGTGAATAGATCAAACATTCGATTAATTAAGACAAAGTACTTGCTTTTACAATGTAAATAATGGAATTGTGTATAGTTTGTAATTGTTAACGAGCGAATCGATCTAACTGTTCGAAAATAAAACTTCTATTTTATTTTTCAAGTGGTTACAATACATATAGTGAATGCATGAGGGAAAAAACAAATGCAATGGGAAACAAACATGAACGAGAGACGCAAAACCAAAGGTGATGAAAAAGAAACATAAACGAGCGGGAAAAATACCCGAACGATATCAAACGAAGAGGATCAAAAAAGTGAGCTCCAAAATGCGTAAACTCCAAATTTGGAGCTCACTTACGCATCGACGTTTTACTCATTGATCTCACTTCAGCTCATACAGCTCAGGGTCCAAACAAAGACCTCGAAACCGTGTAAACTCCAAATTTGAATTCCTTTCAATAACCACCTGAGATACTAGTAGCATTGCCTGAGATGCTCGTAGCATTGCGTGGGATGATAGTAGCATTAGCTGGCATGCTGGTAGCATTGCCTGGGATGCTAGTAGTTATGTGTGCGTGTGGGGGTAGCGGTCCCCAACTCGTACGTGACAAAAAAATTTTTTTCACTCCAGAAATAGATTTTTTGACAAAAAATAATTTTTTTCGAAAACATCTGAAATTTTTTTGCAAAAATTTTTTTTATACTGAAGCGCATTTTTTTCAAAAATATGACTTAACGACTTCTGCTCCTACCCACACACACTACTAGCATCCCAGGTAATGCTACTAGCAACCCAGGAAATGCTACTAGTATCCCAGCTAATCCTACTAGCATCCCAGGTAATGGTGCCAGCATCACAGGTAATGCTGGTAGCATCCCAGGTAAGGCTACTAGCATTCTAGGTAACACATCTTTGGAACATCACATATAACTCTGGCCCTAGTATCTCAATTAAATGGGGTCGGACTGCTATTAACCAGAAAACATGGGCTGCATTTTATTGGTAAAATATGGAGGCGTAAGTGGGCTCCAAATTTGGAGTTTACGGGTGGAGCTCACTTTTTATGACCAAGGAAGAGAACGTTTGGAAATATATGAGGATGAAGGAAAGGAAGAAAAAAAAGAAAAGCATACATAAATGTATGTCGTACTTATCATTTGTGCGCCCTAGTGAAAGAAAACCAAGAAAAGATATATGCAGATGAATTCCACTATACCAGTATCCTATTTTATCTGCTCACCAAATAGATCAGAGAATACTGTATAATCAAAGCTATCCATTGAACTTTCTCTTTGATTAGCATCAATATTTTGTTGTTGATTAATATTATATTCATTAACATCTACATAAAAGATTTTAAGAATAAAATCATCAAAAAAAAAAAAGAAAAGATTATATTACTATTATATTCATCGTTTTGAGACGCACTATTACGCTTCAATAGCAATGGTTGTTCTATCACATCTAAATAATAATTGTTAGAATATATATATATAAGCAAGAGATAAAAATATAATATACTAACTAGCATCTTGTATTATTTGATTCGAAAGTATTTGCGCACGGGTATCTGAGCTATTATTATTGTCACCTGTAGCTATATATTCAAAAGAAAAACACGATAATGAAGATTTATTATTACAAACGACTAAAATTACATAATGTTTGCATCGACGGTTGTACGTCATTGTTCCTCAACGACCAAGTAACTCGCAATTTTACGGACTCTGTACCTTTCTGATAAGCTTCTTCACCAAAAGGTTGAAAATCTTTTATGTAACGATCCTCTAATAGCATAAATACACCTGGTTTGTGTTCAATTTCAATTCTACACTGATACATTGATAAGATAGGTGAATTCCGTAATGTATTTATAAATATTTTTTCGGCATAACATTGAATATCTTTTGCTGTTGTTGTTGAAGAAAATTTTGCTGCGGTATTGAAGTCACCATAATTACCAATATGAACAAGATGAGTCACAACTGTTTCAACCATGTTTACAACATCTGGTGATGCTAGTATAAGTTGAAAGACAAATAATACAGCCTATTTTCTTGAATATGATATACTTTAAAAAAAGTTTTTTTTAATTCAACTCATTTATATTTTAGTAAAATTGTCGAAAATTTCCATCTTGCACCACAAGACGTTAACGAATTAAATAGAAGGTTGCGATAACTATGAAAGAATAAAGAAAGAAAAAAACTAACTGATCCGTGGGCTCGTGAACGATGACTCAGCATTCATTCTAAAAGTCATATGAATTAACACATTTATGCACTGAGAAATGCATACGCGTTCTGCAAAATAAATCGAATTCTAGAAAATATCATTTTTACCGTTATAGTCAAAAAACATACATGCATTGGGTGAATTTTTTAAAAACAAATTCATCGTAGTAGAGGTTAAGCGTATAGCGACATCTGTCAAAGAATGTATCAAAACATGGTTTCAGTGGTAACTTTTTCAATTGTTTTTTTATCATATAGTAGTTCGTGGTGGTTTTTATTTGAAAATAATTAATAATAAAAAGCAACGTTTACATCTTAAGCGTATAAGACCGGCATAAGAATGGCTAAGACAACATCTGTATAATCTAATTGTTGTCTTTTTCCAGAAATCTTACTTTTACCTCTGCAGATATATACTTTCTTTTACAGAGAATTTCATTTTCGTCTCTTCGTATGATCTTCAAATTTCATGTTAGTAATTCACATTTTTAATTATTATTATTAGGTTTCCATTACTAGTTCGTTTAAAATATGAGTAAACTAAAAAGAAAATAAGTTTTTTTTATCGGCGAGTGCATTAATCTTTGGGTTTGCTAAAATAGAACAAAGAGAATTCATTCTTATACCTTCTTCTTTATTGTACCATAACTCATCTCTACCATTTTCTTTAACCATGCAGAAAGCTACTGTAATACGATTGAGAAACAAACTAATCTCTTCGTTTAAGTGTTGAAACGAAAATAGTCTAAGAAAAATAGGAGAGAATACATCTATGAGTTTCTTAAATTTTATTAGAATAATTGAAGTAAATGTTATCTTTCAAATGAATTCATCTTCCAATAATCGACTTTTATAGTTTCAAATTCATCGAGATTTGAATCAGTCATAATGCATGATGTTATTGGCCAATTTCATCGCCAGATACTAAAAGAATTCCTGAAGATTATTAAAAATCCGATGGTTTATTAATCTGTAGCCATACAAAGATAATCTTCCATTCATTCATACCTGATTCAGCATAAAATACGAGCATAGTTATATTCTGTCATATCAGCGGATATTTAGAACAAAATAACTTACTTAGCCACAGAGCTTGAAAATCAAATTTTTTTAAATTTTACTCCCGAAGACTAGAACACGGGACAAGATGATCAGAAAGTTTTCCTTAAGTAACTTGTACTGATAAAAGATGATTAATATATCATCCATTCATAAATGAACTAAAACCTCGACTGGCAAATCCCTTAGGCAATGTCTTATTTAAAAAGTTAAAGAAACACGTATACACGATGATACACAATTCTTTTTGTTGTGTTGTTTCTTATCGTAAAACAGCGAAGAAAAAATCGATGCTTTTCAAACAAATATAAACAATTTTTTTTTTGTAAAAAAGTAATTGTTGTAAGAGGATAACTGAGAGCGAATAGATTACATTTCACTTCGAATCAAAAACAAACAATAGTTTATGACTATAGCCGTGTTATCTTAATCAGTTATAATAAAAAGAAAACTCATGGACAGATTCAATTACTTGTGTACACTAAAAAGCATAACTACAAAAGATTTCTTGACAATCTGGATTTATTTCAATACAAAATGTAAG